GATAATAAGTTATTAGCGGTACTGCATTTTAATTTTAGAAAGCGCAAATCCGCTCATGAATTATAAAAATCAGTAAGTCCGCTAAAGTGCAAATGAAATCTTTAGGTCCGCAATTAATGGATTTGCACTTTAGCGGGCTGGTGCCCACCACTGTTGCCCAGAGTATTTATTTAATTCTTTTGGTAGTTTATTGCGATGTACAGTACGTCATCATGGAAACTCGAAAAGCACACTTTTGCACAAAAGCACAAAGTCCATCTTGTCTCCTTTATTTTCCACAGTTCAGCCTCTCTAACAGTTTTTCTTGTATTTGTGGATGTTTGTTGCTGCAGCGACATCACAGCCTGGTGGCGCAGAGGGAGAGCTTGTTGGAGTCCCTCAGAGACCTGATGAAGACCAAGGAGACRACGAAGAGCTCGCAGTAGGACGAGACGCACACTTCATCAGACCTGAAGCCTTTTAAACGAGATGTTTTAATCTGTGGTGTCTTTACCAGGAGGACAGGAGACACGGCGAAGACCGCCAGGACGAAGACGGGAGAGGAAGAGGAGCAGGAGGAGGAGGAGGAGGAGGAGGAGGTCGGCCCGAAGAAAAGAGACGAACAGAAGACTCGGATGAATGACAAAACTGAGATGAAAGAAGGCGGTGGAAAAATGTCCACCGGAAAGACAGAAAGGGACGAACGGAGGACGGAAAGAGACGCAAAAATCAGAAAAACAGAGACAATAAAAGACAGCAGTAAGAGGGACAAAGAGGAGCGCAGAGTGTCCAACCAGAGGACGACTTCAGACAGAGTGTCCAACCAGAGGACGACTTCAGAGAGAGTGTCCAACCAGAGGACGACTTCAGANACGACTTCAGAGAGAGTGTCCAACCAGAGGACGACTTCAGACAGAGTGTCCAACCAGAGGACGACTTCAGAGAGAAGACGAGCAGAGGCCAAGGATGGACAGAAGACAAACAAAGACCAGATGCTCTCCAGGAAGTCGTCAGAGACAAAACGTGTTGAGCAGAGGACAGGGAAGACACGAGGATTGTTGGAGAAGGCTAGAGAAAGCAGGGGAGACAGGGAGGACAACCAAAAGACAGCAGCAGAGGTGAAAAAAGACGGAGAGAGGATGGAGAGAACAAGTAAACTAACAGCTAAAACTAAAGAGGAGAAAAGAAGAACCAGAGGCTCGATGGCAGAGAAGGATGGAGGAGAGAGGACGGAAAAAGACAAGAAAACACAGGAAGACAAAGACCAACAGAAGACAGAGGAAAAGACGAGAAGTGAAGAAACGAAAGAGAAGAAAGAAGACGAGAAGAACGTTGAAACGAAGGAGCAGAAAGACGAGAGGAAAATAATCGGAAAGATCGTGAAAGCTGGTCAGGGGACGAAGATCCACGTCAAGACCATGATGGGAGGGACCATGTCCGCAGAGGAGGACAAGAAGAGGGAGGACAGTTCAAACAAAAAAGAAAAGGGGACAAAAACGAGTTCGGAGAAAAGAGAGAGCTCCGAGGAGAAAAAGTCCGAGGAGGTTGAGACAAAGAAACGCTCCGAGATGAAGGACAAAAAGGACAAGACGGTTAAAGATGAGCAGAGGAGCAGAGCGGGAGACACGAGAAGAAAAGAGGAGGAGCAGAAACCTGAGGACAGGAAGAAGGATACGCGGGTGGAGAAGACACCGAGGACGCTGAGGAGGAAACCCGACGACGAGATAAAACACCACAAAACGACACCGGGACGGACGGAGGAGACAGACGCTCCGAARAAGAGCRGCGAAGAGACGAGGGCCGAGTCCAGCAGCAGAGAGGAGGACAGAACCGGACCTCTGCAGAACAAGAACTCCTCTGTGATCGACTCCACCCTGCACAGAATCCATGGAGACATCACGATCTCCCTGAAGACGGCAAACCCTGTAAGACACAAACATGTCCTGTACTTCAGAGGACACTAAAGAGGCACGAGGCCCAGTCAGACATTACCAATCAAAATAATTATTCAAAATCTTGGTTTAATTTGTATTGTCTTTGCATTATAACTAAATTAAATACACTTACAATATAAAAGTAAAACT